GCTCTTCTGTTAAATTCCAGAGCCTCAGCTTGGTACTGCTCTTCTTTGTGAAACTTCTACTTGGTAGCAGCAAATGTGGCATGTAGTTGTAAGTGAAGAATTGTTAGCTGCATGAATGGATGGATGAATGATGAGTTTGCTCTATATTTCATTCAGAAAGCACAAAAGTTACAGCAGGAGTTGAGGACAAACAAAGACTGTGCATTTCATCTCATGAAGCTACATGTTAATGAGGTAGCATATAAGAATGTAGTTGATGCCAGGCTGGTCTCCATAGTAAGTTCCAGGACTATATAATGAGACCCTGTCTCAAAGAATGTAACTGATGGGGCTGAAAAGATGAATGGTTAAGAGCACTGGCTTCTCTTCCAGAGGATCTGGGTTTGATTCACTACCACTCACATGGCAGTGCATGCCTTCTTCTGTCCTATGCAGGCACCAGGCATACATGTGGTGCACAAATATACATGCAGGCAAAATACTCATATTCATAAAATGAAATTTAAGTTTAAATGTAAATTGTGGCTGGAGAGTTGGCTCCATAGTTACGAGCACTTGCAGTTCTTCCAGTAGACCCAGGTTCAGTTCCCAGCACCCATTCTTACTGTCTATAAGAATGTAAAGTGTAAGCCGGGCGTTGGTGGCGCACGCCTTTAATCCCAGCACTCGGGAGGCAGAGGCAGGCGGATCTCTGTGAGTTCGAGGTCAGGCTGGACCGATAGCCTCCGAAATAATACAGAGAAACCCTGTCTCGTAAAAACCCAAAAAAAAAAGAATGTAAAGTGTGCTGATAATTGTGTCCTTTAACCTCCCTGGCTTGATGCTCTTAACTGTAAAACGGAGTAAGATCAGAAGCATTAATAGATTTAAAACTGGAGATGCTCCACATGAGAAGTAATGAGTGGCTGGGTACAGTGGCACATGCCTTTAGTCTAGCACAGAGGAAGTTGAAGTAGAGGATCACTTAAGCCCAGAAGTTCAAAACCAGCCCCAATGAGGTTGCTATTTTGGTGAGGTCTGTTTCTAGGTTCTGTAGGAACCAGGACTGATTTTAGCAGCTCAGCAATGCTTAGGCTCTGTTTCCTTCTTACTTTGTCTGGTGTGTGGCCAACCAGGACCTATATTATCTGTACACTGCCCCAGTCCTACAGAACCCATAGGCTGTAGCCACATTCCTTTGTTCTGTAGGTACTCAGTAGATAGCCCCAAAGGGATGCTGCTCATTTCTTGTTATATGTGGGTTAGGGAGGAGGTAGAGGAGAGGAAAGGCTTCAGAGATGACTATGTGGCTTTGGAACACAGAATTGCCCCCGGGTTTGTGAGCAGCCAGCCTGGCAGTTGATCAAAACCAGTCATGCATGCTTGTACCCACTCATTCATCAGTTATATGAGTGCCTACTGGGATGAGACCCAGGGAAGGAAACTAGAATAAGAGTTCAGAGTTGGCATGTATAATCCCTCTCAGTATCTGGTCTGCTGTATGGCTGCTACATCCTGTAAACTCTGAGCTGGCCTGTTGCTGTCTCCTGACTATTCCCACCGGATCACCTATCTTTACCCTCAGTTTTTCCTGTATACCTGTAAGTGGTAGATTGAGGCATGCAGAACTTTGTTGGATCCAGGTAGAATGTGCTCATCATAAGTGGTCCATAGGTGACAACAGCCCCTCCCACTTTGGTTTCCCTTCCAGATCACTGGTCTTGGTAGACCTGTACTTTTCAGGGGACAAAAGAAATTAGTTATTTGATTTATTCATTGAGATAAGATGTCAGGAAACCTGGGCTGACCTCAAACTTATTGTGTAGCCAAGAATGACCTTGAATTTCTGATCCACCTGCTTCTACCTCCCAAGTTCTGATATTACAGGTGTATGCCACTATGCCTGATTTTAGATGGTGCTGGAAATGAAAAACCAGTGTTTTATGCATGCTTGGCAGACACTTTGCCAACCGGGATACACCCCCAGCTCCAGAGAAAAGAAATTTAAACCATGTCCAGTCAGTAATAGAGTCACAGCTTGAATTTAGAGCTTTTCAGGATTGGGAAAATGTAGACATTATGAGTACTGCTATACTGGTCTGATTTCAAAAGTAATATATTAAAAACGTGACACAAAGGGTCTGGAGAGATGACCTAAGTGTTAAAAGCGCTGACTGTTTTTCCAGAGGACCCAGGTTCAATTCCCAGCACCCACATGGCAGCCCACAACTGTCTGTAACTACAGTTGCAGGGGACCTGACACCACACAGGGAAAATAATGCACAATAATTAATTAATTTTTTTAAAAAGGCCAGGTGGTGGTGTAGGCCTTTAATCCCAGCACTCGGGAGGCACAGGCAGGTGGATCTCTGTGAGTCCAGTGCCATCCTGGTCTACAGAGCAAGTTCCAGGACAGCCAGGACTACAAAAAGAAACTCTGTCTTGGAAAGAAAGTGAAAGTAAAGCTTAAAAAAAATTTAAAGATGTGTCCTAAAATTTATGATTTATGTAACAAAAGTAAAATACACACATTTACTTCCTTTTTAAAGTTATTTTAAAAGTAGTAACAGACTTGTTCTAAAACATTAAAATAGGATAAGAGTATATAAAAGTTCAGCTGAGCAGTGGTGGCACACGCCTTTAATCCCAGCTCTTGGGAGGCAGAGGCAGGTGGATCTCTGTGAGTTCCAGACCAGCCTGGTTTACAAGAGGTATTTCCGGGACAGCCTCCAACAGAGAAACCCTGTCTCTAAAAAAAAAAAAGAAAGAAAGAAAGAAAGATAAAAGTTCAAATTTCTTAGTCCTCAAAAATACCAGAAGTAATTGATAGATTAGCATTGCCTTCTTGAACATTTTGTGAATGTGTTTGCATGTATTAATTTTTAATTCAAAAGAAGTTCATAAATATACTTTTTGGCTTTTTAAGAATTTCTTTTATTATGGAAAGAAATTTTCAAAAATTTCTATACATAAAAATAGAATACTACATAATCCTAACTCATTTCTTTCTTTGGGAGGGGGGTTCTCAGTGTATCCCTGGCTATCCTGAAACTCACTGTGCAGACCTGGCACATCATTTATTTCTAATAGCCAACTTATTTGTTCTTGTTTCATCTTTTACTTCCCCTTACCCCCACCCAGTGTGTGTGTGTGTGTGTGTGTGTGTGTGTGTGTGTGTGTGTGTGTGTGTGTGTGTGCGTGCATCTGCATTACACATTGCAGGTGTGTGGAGGCTAGTGTTGGATGTCAGGTGCCTTTCTCAGTCATTCTCCACTTCTTTTTTTTTTTTTTTTTTTTTTTTTTTTTGAGACAGGGTCTCTCACTGAACCCAGAAGCCACAGATTCAGCTAGACTACTGTGGCCGTGAGCTCTAGGGATCTGTCTGTCTCCATACCCTTAGCACTGGGGTTACTGGCACACACTTTAGTCTCATTCTGGAATATTTTAAAGTAAATCCCAAGTATTCTATTCTTTAATATTTTTTATGTATCTCTAACAAATGGTGTGTGTGTGTGTGTGTGTGTGTGTGTGTGTGTGTGTGTGTGTGTGTGTGTGTGTGTATCTTTTCAGGAGTTGTCTGCCTTGTTTTTTTTACTAAGGTTCTCACATTTGCTGACCCAGAGTTGGCCTGATTAGGCTAGGTTGACTGGCCAGCAAACCCCAGGAATCCTTCCCAGCATTGGGATTGCAATTATATCCCACTGTGCCTGATAATTTTACATGAGTTGTATGGATCAAACTTGGGCCTTACTGCTTGCATAGCAAGTATTTTACTGACTGAGACATCCCTCCAGCCCAGATGGTTATTTTTTAAAAGTTACATAGTACAGCCATACCTAACAAAACTAATAATAATTCTGCCAAGGAAAAACAAAACAGATGAGCATTAGTTTGAGACACAAAATGGAACAAGCAGTTCATTCTTTAGACCTAAGACACACACACCCCTACCCCCATCCTGCCACCCCACCCCCTACCCCACCCCAAGCCTTTGGACCAGGCTGAACAGACCGCCGAAGAGGGGAGCTGACCTTGGAAACATTGTTAACCTCTGCTGAGCTGCCCATTGAACTCTTTCCTCACACTGATTAGAAACAGAGACAGTACTCAGTCAGTTTCTTTCTTTGCTTTTTAATTTTTAAACTACATATGCTTGTTTATTGTGTGTGGTGTATATGTATGGGGGCATGCTGATCATGGCACCATGAAGTCAGAGGCCAACTCGCTGGAGTTAATTCTAACAAGTGGGTCCAGGGGTCAAATTCAGATTGTCAGGGTTAGCAGCAGCTCCTTTTGCCACCTGAACAGTCTCATCGGCCCCCAGTCAGTTTCTTAGAAGAAAGTAAGTGATGAAATCTCTGATCCTGTAGCAGTTTAAAGATATCATTTTCTAAGACCTCAGAACAGATTTTAAGACTGCTTAAGTGTGTTTTTCCTGGGTTATAGTCCTAATTAGTGGACTGGATGTGGTGGTCACACCTTTAAGTGAGTCCCAGCACTCAGGCAAGTCTGGACTACACAGAGAGACCCTGTCTCAAAAGAAGAAAACAAACAAAAAACCACTTTGTCAGCTTGGCTTATTTTTTTTTCTCAGTTGACAATTCCCTAAATGTCCAAAGTACTAACTGGTATTACATGCATATGTCACCATACCCTCTAGATCTTAATTTTGAAATACGTTTTTCCAAACAGGGAGGTGATTGGAGAGATGGTTCGGTGGTTAAGAGCACTTGTTCTTGCACAGGACCTGTATTCTGTTGCCAACACCCATAGGGTGGCTCACAACTGTCTATAGCTCCAGTTCCAGGGGATCTGATTCCCTCTTCTGACCCCATGGGCAAATAAATTCCTGCAGACAAAGCAGTCGTACATATGAAATAAATCTCAAAAAGGTTTTTTTTTTTTCAACAAGGAAAAACTGGGGCTTGGGGATGTTTATGGCTCAGTGGTGGAGTGCTTAGTGTTTAGCGAGCATGTATGAGGACTGCATTTATTTCCCAGTTCACCACCCCCACACACAGTTATAAAAGAGGAGGAAGCTTCCCACCATGGAGAAGGTCTTGGAACTGAGGCTAGCGAGACACTGCTACTATCAGAAGCCAGCTGCCCTTCTGGGACATCACGTAAAATGATGTAACTGAGTGAAAAAGTGGCAGAGAGTCGTCCTCTCCCTGCTCAAGTCGCTAAGCTGCTGTTGTAGTGAGAGATCTCCTGAGCCCCAAGCTCTACGTCTGCCCTGTGAAGAAGTAGTAGAAGGCTTCTTGGTTGGAGAAAACCAGCTTTTGGGATTTCATCTTTTCTTAACTTTGGAAGCTGAAATCAAGGTGATCTTCAGGTACCGCTGTGGTGAGTCCTCATTTTGCATATGAGAAAAGCATAGCAGGAAAAAGTGGTTCCTAGCAAGCTGGAGGCTGGGCTGAGTCTAAGCTTCTGTTCTCTGACTGTGGTAACTCCCTGCTTCTAATTTCTGAGATAATGAGGAAACCAGATGAGGCTCCTGACAGAATTCCTGGGTATCCCTTCTATGGATCTCATTGTCTTTCCCTGGTTTCTTTGATTTGGAATTGGTAGTCAACAGTGATACGTTTCCACAGGCTATCAGTGACCAGCTTTGTCTATGGTGATGTGGTAGTTTGAATATAAATAGTGTGCCATGAATCCTGGTCTCAAACCCACACTAGTCAGCTAGCCAGATAACTCAGTCTGATGTTCCCTGAAGTGATCAGGATTGCCCAGAGCATGAGTGTGCCAGATGACCTTGGGTAGTATGGGAAAGAAAGCTTTTCCTTCACTGACATAACTTCCTCTTTAAGTGTGTTGATAAATTTAGACAAAATAAGGTAAGTGGTATTCCATCTGGCAGAAAGTGTCAAAAATATCACCTGGCTATTCCAAGCTTCCTAATCTTTCACAGTCACAGGAATTTCTCTATGTTGCCATATACCACTTACAGTCTTGAGTAGAGTCTGTTCTCATGGTCAACATAAAAGTTGTCCAGAATTAAAAGATAGCTTGACAATTCAACTTAATATTTAATTGAGCATGTATTTATCAACTGGTATGGTTAATACAGAAGAATATAAATATAAATGGGGGCTTTGTTGAACCTTCCAGGGTCTGCTCAGTATTTTTGCAGTTTGTGTTTTGTTTTATGAGGTGTGTTTCGGGCTGTGTTCATGAGTGACTCATGAGAAGTACAAAGCCCACAACTGCTGTCCCTGCAGCCCTCTGGGAACCTGCTCTCAGATTCAGTCACAATTCTTGTTTGGGGCCGAGGGAGGATGGAGGTGCTGGCCTGGACGTGGGAAGCAGGCTGCAGCAATGAACAATCAAGTGTTTCTGCCTTCCAGGGTTGTCTTGAATCTTCACTGAAATCTTTGCTGGCAGTCAGTAATGGCAAGTAAGGGGCCCTCGACCTCTACATCCACTGAGAATTCAAGTGCAGGGGGCCCTAGTGGCAGCAGCAATGGCGCTGGTGAAAGTGGGGGGCAGGACAGTACCTTCGAGTGCAATATATGCCTGGACACAGCCAAGGACGCTGTCATCAGCCTGTGTGGCCATCTCTTCTGGTGAGTACCCCTCCTGCCATCTCTGTAAGCCATGGCCCTGGGCAGATGTCTCACTTTGGACAGGAGATGTTTGGAGCAGATGTCTCACTCATATTGAGTCCTGATACACTCAGACCCAAGGGACAAGAAGCCTCAGTTTCCATCCCGGCTTTACTGCTGAAGGTCTAGGTAGGCAAATCCTGTTTCCATCCTAGTTGTCTTCCTGTCTCCAGGAGTAGCCCATTTAGTGAGCATTACTGCCACTTGCTGTGCTGAGCCAAAGACAGTATTGCATAGTGAACTGTGAGGCCAGACCTTCCCCTCTTCAGTCTTGACTCTGCCACTTCCCTTCTGGATGACCTTACACAGGGTACTTTCATACACTCTGCCTCAATTTACAGGGTTATTTATGAGTGTAAAGTGATGAACCAAAAATAGTAAACCTGCTAAAAGAGCACACAACATGTGTGCTAGCCATGATTGTAAGTAATTGTTCTCTATTTAATGTGTGTGTTGTGAAATAAAGCAGCAAGGTCAGTGTCCTTCTAGTCTCAGTGCTTATAGAAATCCCTGCTGTCTCTAAGAACTTAGGTGGATGCTGAGCAGTAGTTGTTTTGTTTCTTGTTTTTTGTTTCTTTTGTGATGTTGAGCTAAACTTTGAAGGGTAGGGGAAAACCTTGAAGGTAGAGGGAAAATAATGGCAAATAAGATGAAAGGTGTGTGCCACCCCAAAGTAGGTGACTCCTAGGGATAGATATGTGTTCTGTTGGTATCTGAGTCCCTGAGGCTATTGTCCTCCTCAACAGAATCCTGAATGGGGATTGGGTTTGTTAGAAAGCAAGAATGTTTGTGGAGGGGTGAACCAGATTATCAAATGTAGGGAATATAGAGCTTATTGATGTTTTTGTGCAGGAATATGGTGAAGAAAGCAAAATTTGGGGAGTTTAAATTCTCAGTAATATAAAAGGTAAATTTATTGGTGAATTAGAATAGAGCCAAGATTTTTGTTGCTTGTTTTTGAGATTTTTGCCTTAACTGTTTTGTATGGTTAGATCAAAGTGACAGAATTAAGAGGCAGAGTACTGTTAGAAAGAACGTATTTGAAGATGAATCAGATTCATCCAGACTGCAATGTCTTTAGGCAAATCTGTTTCTTCTCTGCCCATCACCTTCCTCTTTTCTGTAAAGTAGGAATGGTTATAGCTCCTGGTGACCATCCAGTGACAAGAAAAAATAAAAATCAACTCAACCACTCTCTTGACACCCGGTAGTTGTTTCATAAATTACTTTGTTCATTTTTGTTTTGAGACAGGGTCACTATGTAGACCAAGCTGACTTTGAAATTGTAGCACCCCTTTTGCCTCTGCCTCTGGGACCTGCCTTTAGAATAACCCTAAGCTTTGCTCTGAAAGTCATTCATTCACCTACACTACTCCTGTAATATTCAAGGGAGCTCTAGTAGAGTGCAATTGTGATTTGAGGTGTCCTCTACAGAGGTTACGGTGTCACCATGAACTTGGTGTTGGATTCAGAGATGAGGCAGCTCTTACATCTAGGAAACTGCATTTGTTTGTGGAGCTGGCCTCATTCAGGGAGTAAGAGAAGCACTGTCTTCTTTGGCCACAATTTTACTCATCTAGAAAAGCACACGATGTGTGAGAGACACATGACTGCCACATAGTAAGTTGTAAATAGGTATTTGTTGACTAATTTTATTACTAAGACTAAAAATCTGGAATTGAATAATTTTCTCTCAGTATTACAATGTCATGTTTTTTTATGCAGTGCTAGGTATTGAAATGGCAGGAGAGAGGGGTTTTGTTTTGGTTTTTTGGTTTTTGTTTTTTTTTTTGTTTTTTTTTTTTTTGGTTTTTCCAGACAGGGTTTCTCTGTATTGCTTTGGAGCCTGTCCTGGAACTAGCTCTGTAGATCAGGCTGGTCTCACAGAGATCCACCTGCCTCTACCTTCCGAGTGCTGGGATTAAAGGCGTGCACAACCAACACCTGGCAGGAGAGAGTTTTTATCCTGATGTAAATTATATGTTCTGTAACTTTCTTACTTCTTTAAAAAGTGAACTGAACTGGGCAGTGGTGGTGCACACCTTTAATCCCAGTACTTGAGAGGCAGAGGCAGGTGGATCTCTGTGAGTTTGAGACCAGCCTGATCTACAGAGTAAGTTCCAGGACAGGCTCCAGAGCTACACAGAGAAACCCTCTCTCAAAAACATGCCCCAAGAGGTGGAGAGGGGGAGGGGGAGAGGGAAGAACCAGGGGTATGTACACACCTGTAATCCTAACACCGTAAAGGGAGCTAAGGATGTGACTCAGCAGTTAAAAGCACTAGGTGCTCTTCCAGAGGACCCAGGTTGATTCTCAGAACCCACATGGTGGCTAATCACCATCTGTTACTTCTTTCCAGGGGAATCAACAACCTATGGCTTCTGTGGGCACCTAGTATACACATGTGGTCCATGACATGCATGTAAGCAAACACTCATACACATAAAAATGAATAAATACAATAAACTTAGTGCCCTGAAGTCTGAGGCAGAGAATCATGAGTCTGAAGCCAGTCTGGGCTCCATGGTGAGACCCTGCATTTAAACAGATAATTTTATAAAAAGAAAGAAAAGTAGTGTTGGGTAGCAGCTCTGTAAGATGGAAGTAGCCCTCTTTTCCGAGTAGTTTCTCCATCCTCTCCATTACAAAGATGCTTTGAGTAGGCCTGGACTTTTAAACCACTTCCTGCCATGGCCCTGATCTGAAATAACAGAGAATCCATGTATCACTTGTGAGCTGGAGGAGGCTGTGAACCTGCTGACATTGGTGCAAATTTCAAGTATATGTGTGTGTTCATATTGTCATGTGGTACATGACAGTGATAACTTTTCCTGTAGAGAATATCTGACTTTTATTGGATTCCTTCAGAGCCTGTAATCTCTCCAGGACTAACCTGTGGATAAATTGTGCCTCGGTGGTGTGGACCATGAGAGTCTGCTTTTGTAGTGGAGTTTAGGCTGGAGACTGGAGTCTTAACTCTTTACTCTCATTTCTTTTCCCCTGTGGGTTTAGCTTTTTCTTATTTGTTTTGTTCTTTTCATTTTGTTGTTGTTTTAAGACAGGGTCTCCTATAGCCTAGACTGTATCCCTTTCACTGTGTGGTTGAGGATGGCCTCGAACTTCTATTCCTCCCCTACCCCTACTTCCCAAGTGCTAAGATTACAGATGTACACCTCCATCATATCCAGTTTAACCCTCCCTACCTTTTCCTGTCTGTGATGCCAGTAATCCCTTGAAGCTTCACTGGGTTATAGCACCCCAGTGACCCCATTCTGGTGTCTCTTCCCTACTTATGGAGTGTTTCTGCTAATGAAAGCATTTTTTTCCTCCTTCCTGCTTTCCTTCCTGATGATTGGCTGCCCTGGGGACTCTGGTAGTTGGCCGTGTTTGCATCAGGTAAGATGTACTTCATTTTACTTTGTCTTTCATCAGCTAGAGTTGCACAAGACATCTCTCATCTCAAGGGACTACTGTCAGAAGCTGCAATCTCCCTTGCTTCTGGGCTCAGTTGCTCGTTTTATACACCTGCCCACTGATAGGTATTTACTTTAATAGAAGGTCATTTCATACCTGAGTTGTTCTTGATTTTGCCAACAACAGACTAGCCATTATGACCTTAGCTGGCCACCACTTTCTGCGTCTCAGTGACTCATTTGCAAATGAGTTGGGTTTGATAATGGTAGGGCTTTATTGTTTGTTTGTTTTGAAACTGCATGTATCCCAAGCTATATCCTCAAACTCACTATGTAGTTGAGGATAATAGTGAAATCTTCCTGCCTCAAAGTGCTGGAATTACAGGTGTGCACCACAATGCCTACTTCATATGGTGCTGAGAACCCACAATGTCTTGTATGCTAAGCAGGTGATCTTCTAACTAAGCCACATCCTCAACTATTAGATCATTTTTTGTTTCTGAGCTTTTATATTTATAAAAGATAACTTCTGGGCTAGAGAGACAGATCAGTGGTTAGGAATGCTTGCTGCTCTTACAGAGAACCATTTTCAGTTCTCAATACATGTAACTCCAGCTCCAGAGGTTCTAACACCTCTGTGGGTACACATACACACACACCCCCCATCACATATATACCAAAATAAAAATAAAATTTGAAGACTTAAAAAGGCAGCTCCTTTCATATCAGTACACCTCTCTTTGCTAAAAGATCTTGAAATCATTGAGAAGAAGTAAACTTTTTTGGTGACAATAGATAGCCTTTGCAGAGGAGGAAAATCTGTCTTCCTTGTTTTAATTTATTATGAAAACCAGTTAGTGTTCACTAAGAACTGGGCTTGGCATTAGCAACTGAATGTGAACAGTCAGAAGCAGGAAACCACCTCTCTGGTGTCTGAAGTACAGCACACGCCTAGGTGGCTTAGGGGGTGTAGAGCGTGGACAAAGACTAGACTGCTTTGTGTCCTCCTAGTAGTAAGAAGAGGGAGCTAGGGGTGAGCATTGAGGCCAAACTGAACCTGGACGAACAGACTTGATAGAGCATGTTAGTTGAGTGCTGAGAGATCATGAAACAAGTTTTGAAGCCATTGACAGGTGGGGAATGTAGTATATAAAATCATAAGATGCTGCTATTTCTGTACCCCTATGTCTTTGTCTCATAGTCATATAATGAGCTTTATATCTTTATGTCTAGAGATGCAGTTTATGTCCTAAAATAATATTGAAGGGCTCGGGCATAGTTCATCCATAGTCTGTATACTTATGGTCAAGGTTCTGAGTTTAATCCCTAGTGCTAAAAATAGATAAAGGTTGAGAAAGTATAAGTAAGAAACCATCCACTGCCCAGAAAGAGGTCACAAGTTAGGTATGGTGAATCTTTTGCTCATTTATAAGAAAGTAAAATAACGGACTGGAGAGATGTCTCAGTTTTTAAGAGTACTGACTGCTCTTCAAAAGAACCAGGGTTCAATTTCCCAGCACCCACCTAGTAGCTTACACCTATCTGTAACTCCAATTCCAGGACTTCTGACACCTCATGCAGGCAAAACAATAAACATAAAATAAAAATGAAATTTAAAAAGAATTTTAAAAATGCTTTAATATAAAACATTAATAAAGTTTAGATAATAAGCAAAATCTATCCCTTAACACAATACTAAGTGACACAAAAATGATTAACACATCCATGTGCTGATGTCAGGTTACACCATTGGGAAAATGCTGTAAAGATGAGCAATTGGAGATGGAGAGACGCCTCAGCAGTTAGGAGCTCATATTGCTCTTCCAGGGGACCCAAGTGCAGTTCCTAGTACCCATATTCACAACTACCTGTAATTCCAGCTTCAAGCCTCTCAGGGAACGCATTTTTGTTTTCACATACCCCCACCCTCCACTGACATGTACATAATTAAAAATAAGGTAAATATTTTAAGAAAAATGAGAAATCACAGAAAGAAAAACAAGAGATTGATCCTGCATGTAAGTTCTGTTCACTGCAGGAGCCTGCCTGGAGGCCTCAGACTTACTTGCCACTCCTTCTTAGGAGCTTTTGATTTTTATCCCCAGTAAATTATTTTTCAATGCTAGGACTCTGGTTCCTAACTAAAGGTTCCCAACTCACTCTACTCCTGCTGCTGTTTCCCATTTAAAGGATTCTGACTCCATGTTCACACTTAGCAAAGATGGGGCAGCTTTGGACCATTCTTGTGTTTTTCTCTCACCCGCAGTGGTTGGAGACCAGACCTAACAGACAAGTGTGTCCAGTTTGCAAAGCTGGAATCAGCCGGGACAAGGTCATCCCACTCTATGGCAGGGGCAGCACCGGGCAACAGGATCCCAGGTAAAGACTTGACTGCATCTGATACCCACTTCCCACTTAGATGTGAATTCACATCCATTTAACACTCTAACTATCACCCTACATCCTGCAGCCTTTACTTGATTCTGGCCCATATTTTATGAAAACCTTCAAGTTTCCTCCTTGAAGTGATCTCCATATAAACTGCCCTCACCTTAGTCCCATCACACACATCACCCTATATTGTGATTGTGTTTCTCCTGAAATTATCATCATCTCTAGTGGGATCTGTCACCATATTAGTATTGGTGCCTAATGTGAAATAAACTCAGTCAAGCTATTTAGATGAGTGGTGAGAGGAGCTGAGGACTAGAGGCAAAAGTAAAAGATAGCGTGGCATACTGGCCCAAGAGTAATGGAGGCCAAACTGAAGTTTAGGGGCAGATCAGAGAGACCCTGAGCCCTAAACGTCTCAGCTGACAATTCATCCTTTAGTCTGACTTGGGATCTCTGGCACCCATGAGCTCATATCAAGCAGTCCCAAGGAAGACAACTGAGTCAAGCTCTCTGTTGCAAGGATAAGCTGGGCAATCTGACGGCTTTCTCAGAACAAGCTGGTTTTCCTAGTTTGAGGCAGAACAGAGTTAAAACCAGCATTTGATTAAGCCAGCAAGGTTTTTTGTTGTTATTGTTGGTTGGTTGGTTGGTTTTTTGTTTTTTTTGTTTTTTTTGTTTTTGTTTTTTTTTTGTTTTTTTTTTGAGACAGTGTTTCTCTGTGTAGCTCTGGCTGTCCTGGAACTCTCTCTGTAGACCATGCTGGCCTCAAACTCAGAAGATTGCCTGCCTCTGTCTACTGAATACTGGGATTACAGGTGTGCGCTGCTATTGCCCAGCCCAGCAATTTTATGTGTTGAACAGGAGAGTGGCCCAAATCCTGTTGGTTAGTCCTCACAGAGAGCAACTCAGAATATTTTGTAATGGCCTTACTTTGTACAATTTCTTTTCAGAGAGAAGACTCCTCCTCGTCCTCAAGGCCAGAGGCCAGAGCCAGAAAATCGAGGGGTGAGGAACATTCTAGGAGAAGCTTTTAGAAGTGTGCCTGTGACTTTTAAAACTTTCCTGTTTACCTTGCAGTTTTTTTCCTTGTTCTAAACAAGGAGAAAAGTTCTAAAGGAAGATTTATAAAGTACAGAAAGGAGACAGGCAGGGGAAAATCCTAGAACCACTCATCCAGAGATAACCACTGGGAGCCTTTGGGCCTGTTCTCTCGTCTTTCTTTATTATATATGTGTGGGCATGCATGCATGTGTGTGTGTATGTATGTATGTGTTTAATATATTTATGTTTGTTAATTGTACATTTGCATATTTATTTCTTAGATTGTTTTAAGTTTAATTTTACTTTTATTATTTTTGTGTATATATGGTGGGGGGGCGTATATATAGAGGTGAGGACAGCTTTGGGGAGTTGGTTCTGGAGATAATTATCAGTCTTCATGGCAAGCCCCTTTACCACCAGATTGTCTTACCAGCCTGATTTCTTGGACTTTTGAGATAGGGTCCCACTATGTAGCCCAGGCTGATCTGGAATGAATGATTTTCCTGCCTCTGTTTCCTAGTACTGTTGTTATAGACATAGGCCACCATACCTGGCTTGCTTAGTTTATGTGTAGGTGTTTTGCCTGCGTGTACATTTATCTATGTGAGGGCTCCAGATCTTTTGAAAACTAGAATTACAGTCAGTTGTGAGCTGCCATGTGGGTGCTGGGAATTGAACCCAAGTCTTCTGGAAGAGCAGACAGTGCTCTTAAACCACTGAGCCATCGCTAGCCTCCTGTTTTTTGTTTTTGTTTTTTACAATATGTGGCTCTTATTTTATAATTTTTAAAATTTTATCTATTTTACAGATACTAGGTACCTTAATGTGATCTGGTCACTATTTTGGCAGTTATCAACGAACCTAGCAAATAGTCTTTGCTCTCATGGAATGTTCTCATGAGAATTGGAATTTCAACAGTGCAGTTTAAAATGTTACTGAGACCCGTAGTCATGACATTTAACAGCTGATACTCAGTTGTATATACCTAAGGTAGTGGCATCTATTGTATTACAGAACACTTAACCTACTACCTCTGCTGTCTTAAACATACTCAGGTGAAATTACAAAGTTTTGTGTAGAACCACAATTATTTTATTATGATAAACCCTTAGAATTAGTGACTCAAAATATGTATGCATTTAAATGAAATATTAGTCCTTTTTTTTTCTCCAAATAGCAGATTCTTGTTAAAGTATTAATGGGGGCTGGGAATGTAGCTCATGGCCAGGAGCATAGTAGCAGTCAGGCAGGCATGGCACTGGGGCAGTACCTTTGAGCTTAACATCCTTATCTATAAGCAGGAAGCAGAGAGAGCTGACTGGAAATGTCTCGAGGCTTTTGAAACCTCAAAGCCCACCCCCAGTGACATATCTCTTCCAACAAGGGCACACCTCCTAATCCCTGGCAAACGGTTCCACCAACCAGAGACCAAACCATTCAAATATGAACCTATAGAGACCATTCTCATTCCAACCACTGCAGCTACGTGAGTTCAGGGCCAGTGTGGGAATGTGAAACTGTCTTAGAAAATCAATTAAAAATTTAAAATGTACATTAATGAAAATTTAAAGAAAAATTGTTCACCTGAACTGTTAGAATCCTAGAGACAAGTATACACTAACTTCTACAGTTTTCTTCATTTGTAACCATATATTCTTCTTAGTTTTATTATCAATTATGTGTATGTTTGTAGTGGGCATATATATGATTGTAAGACACTAGAGACATCATATTCCACTGAAGCTAGAGTTGAAGGCAATTTCGAGCTACCCAGCATGGGTGCTGGAAAATGAACTCAGGTCCTCTGCAAGAACAATTTGTTTTCTTAGTCATGGAGCCATGTCTCCCACCTATATATTCTTAATTATTGTGTCACTCTCGCTATTCTGTTAACTGGTTTCCAATTTAATTTTGGCAGTATATTTCATGATATTCTAAACAAAGTATCTTCAAAATGCCATTGTGTTTTCTTTTTAATATTGTGCTTTAGAGGGATGTTTGTTCATATTCTACTTTTTTAAATTGTTTTTTATCATTTATTTCTGTATATGTAATAATGTTTCCTATGGAAACCAGATGAGGGCATGGGATCTCTGGAATCTGAAGTTATAGATGTTTGTGGGCTGCCTGAGTGTGCGCTGGGAACTGAACTCTTGCCTCTGAAAGAGCAAGAAGTGCTCTTAACCATTAAGTGCATCTTGGCCATCTCTAGCCAAATCTTTATTTTTGAGAAAGCATCTCCACTTATAGCCGTATACAGCTGGCCTTGATCACAGCCTCTCAAGTGCTTGAGTTACAGATATGTGCCACCTCTCAGCTTCTTTTTTGTTGTTGTTTAATTTTTCATTTTCTTTTATCATTTTATATTTTTTGAGGCAGAGTCTCACATGTCTCAGACTGATCTAGGAGTTGATATGTAATAGAGAATAATCTTGAACTTGTGATTCCCTCGCCTGCACTAGGGATCGAACCCAGAGCTTTGAGCATGCTAGATAGCTCTACTCAACTGAGCTGCACCTACAGCCCTCTTGGTCCCCTTTATTAAAGGCTGCCATGTATGCAGAGAGAGAGACAGAGTGTGTATACAGGGGTGTGGAGGAATGTTCTGGGTATGAAATTCAAGGTATTAAGTGTGCTAGTTAACATACCACTGAGCTGTGTCACCATCCTTCCATTGAATTTTGATTTGGTATAACTTCAGTTCATCATTGAAGGGTCTTAGAGTTACTCAGACTTTGCTGTGTAAATAACACCAGATAATCTTTGTATACATCCTTTTTTCACTTGAATTGGTGCATTTTGGGGGGTGGGATTTTTGAAACAGGGTTTCTCTGTAGCCCTGGCTGTCTTGAAACTCAACTCTGGGGGCTGGAGAGATGGCTCAGAGGTTAAGAGCACTGACTGCTCTTCCAGAGGTCTTGAGTTCAATTCCCAGCAACCACATGGTAGCTGACAACCATCTACAATTCAATCTGGTGTATATGTAATAAATAAAATCTTTAAAAAAAAAAAAAAAGAAACTCACTCTGTAGACTGGGCTGGCCTCAAACTAAACATCACCTGTCTCTGCCTTCCAAGTACTGAGATTAAAGGTGTGTACTACACCACCCAGCTCTATTGGTGCATTTCTTTAGGAGTTCCAGTATGATAAGGTCAAGGATCTGATGAAAGTTGAGGATTTTTTCTCCTATATTTAGAGTTTTGCTGGGTGGTGGTGGTATGTACCTTTAATCCCAGTACTTGGGAGACAGAGGCAGCAGATCTCTGAGTTTGAGACCAGCCTTTGTCAGGTTCACACACAGAGCCAAAACCCAACCTGGGTTCTATCAAAGTCCCTGCTCTTAACTGCTAGACAGCAGCCCTTTACCTTCTCAGGCTCTACTTCTCAGGCAGCATTAGCAACCAGTAGAAGTCAAAGACCCCAGGAAGTCAGAGGCTTTAGCCCTGATGGCTGAGGGCCGACCTAGTGCTATAAGCACCTGCAGCTACTAGTAGTCTAGTCTGTCTTTTATTTTTATTTTTTTATTTTCTTAAGGTTTCACTGGGAAGCCCTGTCTCTAGCTAGAGCTCAATGTGTAATCCAGGCTGACCTTGAACTCCTAGAGATCCAGCTGCCTCTGCCTCTCAAGTGCTGGGATTAAAGATGTGCCCACCATTCCAGTATCCTAACTTTCTATTATTTCATCATCTGTTCTAAAGAGCTCACCAGAAGTACAAAGAGTTTTAGTGCATGGTGATTAAGTTGGTTATATGTAAAGGCTCTTGTCATGCAAGCCCAATGACGTTTGTTCAATCCCCAGAACTCACATAGATGAAAAGAGAGAACTGACTCCACAAAGTTGTCCTTTGAACTCATGTACACTGTGACACATGTGCAATACACATAGGCACACTATACACGATTACAACACATCTTTTTGAGTTTGGATTTTCAGATCAGATTGGCCAGATGTAGTCTTCTGTAAAATGCTAATGCAAGAATTTAACGTAAGCTGACACCCTTGGAAGTACTCATCTGTGATTCCAGCACTCAGGATGCTGAGGCAGGAGCATTGCAAATGAGGCCAGCCCAAGCTACCTGTGAGATCCTGTCAGTGTGGGGAGAAGGGAAAGGAAAGACGGGATTTGTGTGTCCTGTGCCAGGAGACCTTGCACTCTGACAGAGGTGCAGCTTACTAACAGAGCTGTTGTTTATCGGAGTCCATCCTTGGGGAAGATCATGTGTGGTGAATGTGTTTGGCGAAGAAACCAAGGCTGCTGTACAAACTACTGTCAGTGATCTCTGACTTAATTCTTAGGACAAATACATATTATTCTCCCCTCCTGTCTCCATTTCCCATGAGCTAGGACCATAGTACCACACCCAGATTTCTATATTAATCAGAAAAAATTAAATTGTTCTATATATTTAAATTTTTATTCGACATTTTCTGTGTATGTGGTTTGTTTTATTTGTTTTATTTTGTGTTTTGTTTCTGGTTTTTTTGGGGGGAGTGGGGGGAGTAGTCTTGTTACATAGGAACTAATTATTCAACTACCACCACTTAGCTTAAAATAATTTTTTAAGGCAAGGTCCTGTTGTGTATTCCAGGTTGGCTTTGAACTCAATATGTAGTTGAGGATGACCTGGAACTTCTGGTCCTCCTATGTTTACTTTGTGAGTGCTGTAATGATAGGTGTGTGCCACCGTGTCAGACTTATGCAAAGCTTTGGATTAAATCCAGGGCTTTGTGACCTCAGCTACACCCACAGCATCTGAAGGTTTTAGGGGAAATACTTACCCATATCTTGACAATATTCTCATATTGTCTGTTATGGGTGTTTAAGAAGTCTGACCGGTTTAAGTCACAAGGTTTACTGTCTTGTTGCATAAATGAGCACCAGGGTCCTTGAAGAACATTTGACAAGATTTTGTTTGACTGATATTATTGATCAGACTTCCATCTTTTTTGTTATTGCTTATAGTGTATAGTTTGTGATATTCCTTTGCATTTGGGTATGGCACTAATTGCCAGCCAGTAGTGTATTATAAATCCCAGCTAATATGGAACCCTAGAAATGATCTAAAGATGCTGGCAGAAGTGTGTCCCACTTCTGTCAGAGAAGGCTGTTTTTGCACCAGAGAGCTCCTTAGATTGGAGCTAAGGCTAGACGGTCAGAGGTGCCTCTAGTGTTCCTTTACTCTGGGGTCCGGATGGGAGGAAGAGCTGAGGCCCTAGTTTGTGGAGGAGGGACAAGAAGAAATGTGGGTGCCACATGAGCTATAAGACATTGTTTGAGAAATGTGGAATAAATCTGCTTATTTTTCTTAATTGCTTTTCTTCTCCACAGGGATTTCAAGGATTTGGATTTGGAGATGGTGGCTTTCAGATGTCTTTTGGAATTGGAGCATTTCCATTTGGGATATTTGCCACAGCATTTAACATAAATGATGGACGGCCTCCTCCGGGTAAGTCCCATTTCTTTAAAAAGAGAAATCACGAACATAATCCTGCTTGAAAACTCCTTGGAATTCAGCAGTATAGGAGTTACAGATAATTGTCCGTACATGTGTATCAGACTTTGCAAACTCCATTAATTCTTTGCAGATTACCACACTCATCCAGCAATTCTGAGCACTTGCCATATATTAGGTATATCTGGGATGCTTTATGTTATATTACAAATTGAGTGTCTCATCATCTGCACTCCAAATACCTATGTAGTTAGCTGCTTTATAGGTAAAATTCTCAGTAATGATTCCTAGACATAGCCCATGGCCATTAAACTTAAGAATTATAGACAATACCTAGCTAATGAAAAGCTTAATTCTACACAGGTGCACTCACACATGCACGCATGTGCGCTCTCTCCTTCTTCCTCTCTCCCTCCCTCCCTCCCTCTCTCCCCCTATTTGGGGCCAGGGAAAAATGAAATGTTAGGACTTCCTGTTCGCTGGCATCTCTGCCCAGCTTCTCTCAGGACACAGAATGGGGCTGATTCCAAACTTCAGAGCTCTGTAAACTGTGTTCATATCTGTTACCTGCTGCTGCATCGCTCCCTTCAGCCACTTGTCTGTAACAGCTGCATTCAGAGTACAGCGAGGCAGCAAGGTGTGTGCTTAACTGACTTATCACACTCTGCTGCCTAAGCCACCACCCATGTCATGGGAGCCTATTATAGGCCGCCGGGCAGTGGTGGCGCATGCCTTTAATCCCAGCACTCAGGAGGCAGAGGCAGGCGGATCTCTGTGAGTTCGAGGCCAGGCTGGACCAACAGCCTCCAAAACAATACAGAGAAACCCTGTCGTAAAAACCAAAAAAAAAAAAAAGATAGGGTTAGTTGAGCCCTTCTTATAGTCATTGGAGCCTTCTGGGCCCTGAGTACAGTATGAGGAACAGAAGTGACCAGTGCAGCTCTGGTCAGGAACTTACATTCTGACTATGATCACCCACTCAGAAATCATCAAAGCTGTTCCCTGCTTCATCTGATTCTGTGAACACAGTAATCAATAAACTTGCCTGCATGAGTTTATCAGAGCAACCAGCTCTGAGGGAATGACATGCAACCCCACAAAATACTGGGCACTACTCCATCTTATCTGCTTGGAATGTCTCTCTGCTGTTCACACATTGTTTTCTCAGAGAGGGGGACCCCAAAGGGCAGGATGTGATTTCCCATAAAGGAAAGACTGATGCTTGTAGCAGCAACAGGAACTTCTGACTAGCTTGATGCTTTCTAGCCTGGTCCAGCATTCAGACTGACTCTCCCCGAGTTCATTCCCAGCCAGGCTGCGCTCTGGATCAGTTTTTGTTTGTCATGTTTGGTACAGCTTACACAGCCTAGATGTAGATCCTGTCACTTCCTGTCTTCTACAGTCTGAGCAGAGAACTCTTAATTAGCAGAGGTTCTCACTCAGTCTCCATCTACCTTACCATATGATTTCTGGGCCCTGGTTCTCATCTGGAAAAAGCAGACATACATACAGACAGAGAGCCATCTGGAGTAGTTAGTGTGCAGAGAGGCAGGAGAGTGCCACTGCTCATGTGTAAGCCCTTATGTTCTCAGAAGGCCCATGCTTTGCTTCTGCTGCCACTTTTTAAATGAGACCTGCCAAGTATTACCATGCATGTGGCAGCATAGGGAACAGACAAGGGGGTGTCTGTCCCTGCAGGGGTTCCTGATCTCTACTGGCTCACTTGCATGTACAGGACAGCTCTTTGCAGATCACTGGAGATCAAGGCCTCATTTAGTAGTTCACTCATTTTTGCTTTGGTTCCTACTACTTGGAAATTTGGGAGACTTTTTACTGCAGGATTCTGTTTTTAAAAAAAAACAAAGACTCATCCTCTCCAGTTCTGGCCCCAATGGGCAGTATGCACACAGCCATCTGACAAAGTCTCTTCTTCTTGTCTCTCTAGCTGTCCCTGGGACACCCCAGTACGTGGATGAGCAGTTCCTGTCTCGCCTCTTCCTGTTTGTAGCCCTGGTGATCATGTTCTGGCTCCTGATCGCCTAATACAGGATTCCTATTTGCATCCACAGCAGCACCTCTGGACTGTGATGTGCCTGCCACACCTGCTCCTGGTGTGTGACTTGTTTAATCCCAACCCTGGAATCAAGGGTCAGAAACACATCAAGGAGTCTTGCTTCTCCATTAGAGCTTGAACTCAAAACCGGTTGGTGAGGAATCCCCAGTTTGACTACTGCTGTAAACGCCCTCTATAACCTCAGGTCTTGTGTTGAATCACCTCTCATGGGTGACAATGTGAAGTCCTGTTGCAGCCTTCACAGCAGGTCCCAGCTCTACATGGGGAAGAGATGGGAAGAGAAAAACAGTTTCTTTCACCAGAACTTTATATTACAAAAATGAAGGGATGAACCAAATGGTATTTATGGAAACTTACTTTCATCTTTTTAAAATACCCTTGGTAAGTGGCCTCCACTCCCTATACTGAGAGATTCCCTTCCAGATCCCAGTGCTGCTCTGTCTGCCTTCCTGCCCTCCCCTTTCTCAGCAAAGAAGGTCATAATTGCAGCAGCAGAAGCTGAAGATTCTGTGTGACCTTGTGAGACTCTGGTCTTTGATTGGCTCCAGGCCTCCCTCAGTGTCTTGACCCCTGGTTTCCTGACCGATTGTCCCTGGTCACTTGGCTCAAATTTCCCATCAGCTTTCTCCTCTAGACTGCTGCATTTGAGCCATCTACTGTTTCAGAGCTTTGATGCAGGGACAGCAGGGCAAGTAGCCCTGCCCCTGGGCTGCAAAGCCTGAGTAATCCTCTCTCAGATCTTGCCCAGAGAAACTGGAGGCTTTCTCAGTCAGCCCCGCTACATGTAGAACTACCATCCTCAGAAGCCATTGTCCTTTTTAAATGAGTCCGGGACTGTCATTCCACTTGTAGTCCTGGTGTTGGTATAGCTTGATGGCTTTACCTGAAAACCCCTTGAATGTGTGCGGAACCCAAGGACACATGAGGCTCCCGAGCAAGCAACAACCCCTGGTGATACATAAAGGCAAAGGACCACAGCGATGAAGTGTGGTTTTCCTTTCTTCTTCTCCCACATTGATTTGTTGTCGAAATCATAAGCTGCTTCCTCTGAACCTGATTGTGGAGGTGTGGTGCCAGGCAGGAGAATAGTTCACCTGCTCAGATGACTCCTGCTCTGCCTATGAGGCTTCATCTTAGAAATGCCCCTTCCTGAAGACCTCAGCCAAGCAGCAAGATGAACTTCTACTAGATCTTCTTGTTCACTTCTCCAGCAATAACCAGAAACTAGGTTCTTGCCTCACCTGATTTTTCTAGATATAGCTCTGCATAATCTACAGAACCCTAGACCCTGAGGATGGTGAGAGAGCCCTCCTCCTCACTGCATGGTTCCCACCTGCCAATGCCAGTATTAATATTGAAATGGATACAGTATGAAGTATTGAGTAGGAGGGTGGCTTGGCAAATCCAGCTGGTAAGAATAAGCCACCAACTTTAGTGTGCTGACAGATTTTAAATATTCTTTGTCACATGGAAATCCCCAGTTGCAGGGGCCACTGGAGTGTCTCTGTTTTAGAGAGAATTGGTAGGATCCTTAGTGTAGTGTATGTAGCCTTAAGTAGTAGAGGGAAACCCTGAACAACAAGAAAGAAGAGTTCTAAATAGTGGAGCAAATCATTTGGAATCTGGTGAAATGGAATGAGCCCAGGTGTGTGTTCAGCGGAGGTGTCATCCCAGGAGCAAAGCTGTGATGGCCGTGTACCCTTTGTGAACATTACAGGGCTATACCTCAGCAGCTGAGGCAGGAGAGCCAACTTGGGAGTCCCCTCTCCTGGGTAGGCTATCCCTCTTTAGGCTCACCACTCCTTCTATGGCCAAGGTAGCCTTAGCCTCCACCTTTCTGCCACCCCCATGGACAAGGACAGTCAGAAAATGGAAACATGTAAGGCAGCATACCTTGACCAGCACTGATTTTCACTGTTGTGAAAGTGATTTGATTTAGAATTAAATGGTTTTACATTGCTGTGAGTGTGGACTTTGTGTTTGGGATGTTAGTAGCTGGGGAGTGGGCACACTGGTTTAGCCCCTGGGAAGTACCTGTCTTGTCTAGTAATATTTATGTCTTCAAACACCCATTGATAATGAATGATGAGAAGAGTGAACTGGAGATCTAGCTGCCTGTGACAGGCAGCCCCAGTTCTGGCAAATGTATGCAATTCCTAAGTCTGCAAACACCAAACTGCATGATGAAGCTTAGTCTTCCCTTGAGTGTGACATGTAGAGAAATCACAGGTTACTCAGTGTTAAAATGTCTCCCTGTGTGCAGGTAGAGCAGGGAGTGTGCCCTCCTTGACATTGCTCACTAATGTGTGTTATAAAATAGAAGCTGATGAAGTTTTGAATTTGTCTCAGCTTCAGGCTTCAAAACACCAAAGCTATAGGTCATACTCTCTTCAAAGTTCGTATTTCCTCCCCTTAGGCTTTGACCTAACAATGGTCAAGTTGAACAGTGCCAAGATACAGCAGGAGAATGCAGAGGTAAGGAAACTTCAGAATAGGCCTGTTGGCCCAAGCCTATAATCCCAACTACCCAGCAGACTGAGGCAAGAGAATAAAAAGTCCAATGAGGCCTTGAGCTGGTGAAATGGCACAGCCTAGTAATGGTATTCGCCACCAAGCCTGACAACTTGATCTTAATCTCTGGCACCCAAAGGGTGAATGAAAAGAGAGAACCAGAAGTTGTCCTCTGAGCTCCACACTGTACCAAGTCTCGTGCCTGTGCCACCCACCTACCCAGCCACATCGTGCACGAGAATAAATTAAAAACGTAGGGGCTGGAGTGATGGACCATTGCTTAAGAGTACCAGCTGCTCTTGCAGAGGACCTGTTTTCAGTCCTCAGCATCCATACACTGGTTCACAGCTGTCTAACTCTGGTTCCAGGGGATTCAGCTCCCTTTTGTGACTGCTAAGGGCCTTGCATACACAGGATACACATGCATACATGTAGCCAAAAAATTTGTACACATAAAAATCTTTTAAAAATAAAACTTTAATTTTTTAAAGCAAAAACAAGGCTGAAGATACAGCTCAGTGATAAAGCACTACATATAAGTGAAACCTAGGTTTAATCCCAAGTACCATCAAAAGGAAAAAATGTAATGGAACTCATAAACCAATGATTCCAGAATTTTTGTTTTCAGTGGGGAAAAAGTCATGAAGACACAAGTTTGGATCCCAGCACCCTTGTAAAAAGTTTGATGTGCGGGTCTGTAATCCTACTGCCAGGGAGGCAGAGACCAGAGGATCCCTGGAGCCACCAAAGATTAGAGCAATAATGGAAGGACCTTCTCCTTTTACACTGCACCAATACAGACATACACATTCATACACCACACACAAACCCATGCAGAGCAGAATAGAACAAAAAAGCCTTCATGTGTTATCCCAACCAGCCAACCCCAGAAACCATCAACACAGGTCCAGTCCTGTTGGATCCATCTCATCCTAACATGCTCCCCATGAGCAAGTCTGAGGTATCAGGAAATGAAAGACAAGACGTCCAACTGCTTGTGACAGAGAATGCATGTGTGTATGTCTTTATGGCAAATGCCAAGATATCTTTCTCTCTCTCTCTCGTAACACGTCCTATTCATGCTAGCTCAAACTTGATCCTCCTTTCTTAGTGAAAGATTACAATCATGTACCATAGTGCCCTTCCCCCAACATAAATTACACAAAGGAGTTACAAGTGAAGGAGATGCTCAGCAGTTAGGAGCACTGGCTGCTCTTCCAGAGGACACAGGTTTGCCTCCCAGCACCTACATGGTAGGGAGCTCACAACCATTTGTAACTCAAGTTCCAAGGGATCCAACATCCTCTTTGGGCCTCTGTAGACACCAGGCAAGCATGTAGTATACAGACATGCATGTAGACAAAAATACATACATACATTCTGATGGCCTCCACGGACTCATGTTTTAATGCTTGATCACCAGTTGGTGAACTATTTGGTAAGGTTAGGGGGTGTGGTCTTGTTGGAAAAGGTGTGTCACTGGGGATGGGCTTTGAGGTTTCAAAAGTCTATGCCACTCCCAGTTGACTATCTCATGCTTGTGCATCAGATGTAAGTAAGCTCTCAGCTGCTGTTCCAGTGCCATGCCCCTCCCCCAACGATTGGCATGTACTCTAATCCTCTGGAACCATGGTGTCTTCACAGTAGAAGAAAAGTAACTCAAGACACACATAATTAAAAATAAATTCTAAAGTTTAGCCTGAGTTAAATGAGACCCTGCTTCATTAATAAAAATTGAAAGAGTGGAGCTGGAGAGTTGCCTCAGTGGTTAGAGTGCTGGTTGTTCTTCCAGAGGGCAGCACCCACAACCACCTGCAACTCCAGTTTCAGGAGGCCCAGGGCCCTCTTCTGGTCTCTGTAGGCATGAGGCACATGTGCAGTAGTCTCACTCGTTTAATTTTTTGAGATAGAATTTCACCGTGTGGCCCTCTCTGTCCTGGAGCTCACTCTGCAAAAGAGCTGGCCTCAAATTCAGACATCCTCCTGCCTTTGCCTCCTCAATACTGGGATTAAAGACATGAGTACCACCACTACTACCATCAGTACCACCCATACCATCAGCACTGCCAGCATCATCAGCACCACCAGAACCTATACCACCATCATGAACACCAGCACCAGCAGCTGGCTCACAGCATTTATATATATATATACAGGCAGAACACTCATACACATAAAAATTTAAATGCATAGCTCTGAGATGCATATTGAGATAATTAAGAGGTGACATGTGACTGGGATTTGTTTCAAGTAGTCTGGGTAGGAGAGAAAGAGGGTGTTGGGTCCCAGCTCCCACAGATTTCTGTGCACCCTGCTCTCTAGTCCTGGCTTACAGCCCCAGCCTTGCCTGCCTGAAATCAATAAGTAGCATGAGGAAAACACGAGCTCTTATACCTGGGGTTTTTCCACACTGTGCTGTAAGCCTGTATATAAACCTGAGAGAGAGAGAGAGAGAGGGAGGGAGGGAGAGAGAATTTGTGTGTGTATTAGAACTGTGACCAAATCAACTTCATAAGTGCTGGGCAGGGGACACGGGTTGAAACCCCTGCTGGCCTTCAACTGCTGATTCTATTTCACCACAAGAAACCTATCATGTTGCCCAGTGGCATAACTCTAAGGAACCGGATCACTCCTGTTGAGTTCCCATAGCCTCAGTTTTGCTACTGTCACCAGTTTTACTTAGGAATTCTTCTTACTCATATGTTTTCCATAAGTTCATAAAATTGTTAGATCTAATGGTTTCACTAGATTCAACCTAAAGATGCACACATGGGAGAGCATGTATAAAACTTTCTACAATGATGGAAATGTTTCATACTAGCTGCAGGCAACACAGTAGCCACTAGCCATATGTGGCTATCAAGATCAAGAAATGTGGCTAGTGGACAAAGGAACTGAATTTTTTTTTTGAGACAAGGTTTCTCTGTGTAGCCCTGGCTGTCCTGGAACTCACTCTGTAGACCAGACTGGCCTCCAACTCACAGAGATCTGCCTGTCTCTGCCTCCCAAGTGCTGGGATTAAAGGCGTATGCCACCACTGCCAGGCCAAGGAATTGAATTTTTGCATCCTATTCCAGAATTCCATTTCATCTTTATTTTCCCCATCTTTGTTTTTTTCCATCTTTTTAATTTTAATTTTATTTATATATGTGTGTGTGTTGGTGCCCAAGGAGGCCAGAAGAGGCATCAAAGCTGGGCTTACAAGGTGATTATGAGCCACCTGACATAAGCTGGGAGCAGAACTCTGGTCCTCTGGAAGAGCAGTTCATTCTTCTAACAGGTGAGCCATTTCACCAGTCCCCCATCTTAATACAAATTGCCACATCTGGCTTTCATATAGCACAGTACAGATGTAAATTAATTCATAAGGGTTGCAAAATGACATGATAAAAATGTTTCTAGAATTGAGAAGAGTCAGGTGTAAAATGACAGATAATATGGAAAGATGCTGATTTCAGGAGTAACATGGTATGCAAGGACAGAATATATTTAGGAAAGAGTCCTGGACTGAGGGAAGCACATTGCATGTTGAAATGTGTTAGTGAGGCCCTGGCTTGGGTTTTACCTTGTAAGCAGTGAGGAGCTAGTGAGAGTTTTAAACAAGGATCAGAAACATTTTTGGAGACATATCTGTCCATCTTCGGTGATGACTCAAAAAGGAGTCTAGAAGTCAGACTGGCTCAATTTGAAGCCGGTACAGGTGGCAATGACAAATCCAGGTGGACACAAGCAAGTCCTCTTATGACAGCAGAATGGGATGTTCTTTGCTTGTTTATTTTGTAACACTGCTTTGAAGCAGGGTTAGAGGAGCATAGTAGGTAAGGAAAGCCAAGACAGGCTCCCTGAGATGGTAGCTTCTTGTCCCCAGAAGACTCTTTGAGGAGAAACTGTAGGAAGGCACAGGGCTGGGTGGATGTCTGGACAGGACCAATAGGGGAAAGAGGAGGACCCAGCGTCCCTATGAAACACCTAACTAAGCCAGTGATCATCTTTAGTCCATCTTGAACATATAAAGTTGTTACTTTAATCTGCTGCTCCAATTCTTTGCTCACAACAGAGAGCAAACTCTGCAATCCCCTGGATAACCATTGTCTCCCCCACTGTATATCCTCTATATTCCCCAACCTGGTCCTGAACTATCCTCCTGCCTCAGCTTCCCAAGTATCTAGGGCCACAGATGTGAGCCACCAAGACAATTTGAGATAGTTGCAAGGTCCAAGTCTTCAAGAGTCTGGAGACTTGACTGTGATTCAGCCGTAGGAGCTAGTCTTGGATACTAACTGAGGATGGGGGTTAGCTAAATAAGATGACAAGGTGGGTGCTATCTAGAAAGCTAGTAGATGTTCTCCTTGCCTAGACCCTTCCTGCTCTCCAAACCTTTCTCCTTATTCTCAGATGGTGTGGGAATGGTTTGGGGGTCCACATTAGAATGCTGCCTCTTCTGAGCCGGGCGTCGGTGGCGCACGCCTTTAATCCCAGCACTCGGGAGGCAGAGGCAGGTGGATCTCTGTGAGTTCGAGACCAGCCTGGACTACCAAGCGAGTTCCAGGACAGCCTCCAAAGCCACAGAGAAACCCTGTCTTGAAAATCCAAAAAAAAAAAAAAAGAATGCTGCCTCTTCTGGTAGCTATTTCCATGCTTTACATTTTTTTCTCTGTACTACCGGGCCTTTCCTAGGGGAATTTGTTGTTGGCTACAGCTGCTCTCTGTGGTATGAGACTGGAGGTATTGCAAAAGTGGACTGAGAGAGTGTGAGAAGGTGGGAAGGGAAAGCACTGATCAAGAGTGGGAGGAGGATGGATGTGGGTGCTGGGTTGCAGAGGAGAGGGACAGAGAAAGCCAGGGATTGTTGGTTGTAGACTCCCCATTCCTCTGTGCCTGGGGAAGTACATTGCAGGATGAGTAGACTCCTGTTTCCTCTCTGCTAGTCACGAAGTGGCCTGTGATTCTTTAATTCAGTACACAATCTAGTGTTTCCTATAAATTACATATTTCCTTAGAGGGAAACCAACGCTCAAGAGGGTTCCCAGGAGGGAGGTCAGACAGCCCTCCTCAGCACTGTGTGCACACTGGGTTATGAGGCACCACAGAAGAAATGTGTAACTAGCAACCACTTCTACTAAAAAGTTAAGGCAGGAAGACAGACAACTGTGTTGTTTGTGTACCCAAGGGCAGCTGATGGGAGAGTTAGAGGCAGGAGTGGTTTCCTTGGACCCTATTCCTACCTTTCTTCTGATCCTCTAGACATGTTTCCCATTTACTTACATCTGATTGAGGGAAGAAGCAATGGTCTAAGACCCAGCTTGAGAGAATTAGATGGGAAGACATTAGGGAGCAGCTGTCATGGCAGAAAGAAACCTAGTCTCCCAAACCCAGGAAGGGTAAGAACTGCCCTGCACTGCACACCGATCGATTGATTGATTGATTGATTGATTGATTGGCTGACTCACTGACTGTTTTGTTTTTTTTTCAGTACAGAGTTCCTCTGTGTAGCCCTAGCTGTCCTGGAACTCACTGTAGACCAGGCTGGCCTTGAACTCGGAGATCCACCTGCCTTTGCCTTCCAAGTTCTGGGATTAAAGGCCTACGCCACCATGCCCAGTATGATTTTTCAGAGTCTACTGCATACCAGTTTGGCCTCAAATTCACTATGTAAGTGAAGATGCATCCTGCCTGATCCTTCTTTGTCTCCCTCCTGAGGGTTGGGATTATAGGTATGCACTACGATGTCCTGCTTATGCAATGTGTGTGTGTGTGTGTGTGTGTGTGTGTGTGAGCTGAGCTACATCCCTTGCCTACAGGAGTTTCTAACCTGGCAACCTCCAGAGGAAGTCCACAAGTGTGTTTTACTCGCTGTGAATGACATTTGAAGTTTCTATCTCCAATGACAAGTATCTTCAAAAAATTTTAAGTTGTTATTTGTTTAGGGGTGTTATGACTACATGTATGTCTGTGTGCCACATATGCGTCTTGTGCCCACAAAGGGAGTCAGATCCCCTGGAACTGGAGTCACAGACACTTGTAGGATGCCATGTGGGTGCTGGGATTGAACTCAGGACCTGGAAGAGCAGCCCCTTGCTTTTTTCTTATAAAGTCTTTTGTTTCCTATGCTGGCCTTCTGCTGGGTGTGCAGTTGAGGATGAGCTTGAACTTTGGTCTTCCCACCCTCCTGCTGGCATCACAAGTTGACTGCATCATGGTGCTCAGAATCGAACCCAGGAGTTTGCTAGGCCAGTGCTCTACCAACTGAGCCTAGACCCAGTCAGTGCCCAGACCTTTCTTCGGTGTTCTTTGCCCCACAGGAAGATAACTATGTCATAGCATCAATATTGTTTTAGGTTTTATTAGCAATCTAAAGGTGATTAAAAGCAAGGATACCAGCCAGGCGGTGGTGGTACACACCTTTAATCCCAGCACTTGGGAGGCAGAGGCAGGCGGATCTCTGTGAGTTCGAGGCCAGCCTGGTCTACAAATCATGTTCCAGGACAGCCTCCAAAACAATACAGAGAAACCCTGTCTCAAAACCCACCACCACTAAAAATAAAACATGGATATCCCAGCACTCAAGAAGCTGAGGCTGACAAGTTCAAGGTCAGTCTGGCTACATACTAAGGCCAGATGGCAAAACCAAACACAACATAATGCATATAAGGGTTATGCTTAGATCATATGCCGTTTTTTGTGAGACTTGAATATCCAGGGATTTTACATGGGAGGGTGAGTCCTGGACAACATCCCAGATACGCAGAGTAGAATTTGGCCTCCATAACCACCCGCTCTTGGGGACCTTGCTTCCTTCCCCCTTACCTTTGACATGCAAAAGTGGTTTCTCTTAGGTGGGAGCTTCTTCGTGTTCACATTGACGATTACAAACAGAACCAAGACCTGAGGTCCCCACCATATTCTGTACCTGATGAACAGAGCCGTTTTCTTTCTTTTTTTCCGAGACAGGGTTTCTCTGTTCTGCCTCCCGAGTGCTGGGATTAAAGGCGTGCGCCACCAACCCCAGAAAACAGACCAATTTCCAAGGAATGTAGAAGGGTAACTGGTCTAACTGAGCGCTGAGTCTTCTGTGTTGCGACCCCCAATCGGAACACCTCTAGAAGACATCCCTCGCTAGGTGGCGCCAGAGACGCGGCAGAACTCGCGCCAGAGGCGGGGCGGGGCATCGGGGCAGGAACCAAAGTGGGTGGGGCGTCGGCAGGCGGGTCCCGGTGCCAGGTGCGGTTTGGTCCTCCCCGGGCGCCGTAGGCGGTGCATCCTTCTTGCTGCAGAGGCAGAGACAATCTCCTCTCTAAACCGCAAGCGAGCGCGGACCCGAGCTGCTGCTACCGGGTGGTCCTTCCCCTGGTGTCCGCGCCCGGAACCATGGCGGCGCTGGCGGGTAAGAAAGGGCCACGCTGTCCTGCCCACCGCTCACGGGTTTCTGGCTGGCTGGATCCTCTTGGATCCGTGACCCTAGACAGGAGCCTGGCAGACGGGGAGGACCGAACGCGGAATCTCCCCCGGGACTTAGAGGTCCGGGGACTCTGGAAGTACGGGCGGGCTGTCCCGCAGACCGAGGGCTCCTAGTGGCCTGTGCGTGGGGCGGCTTCCCACGAGGTGGGTCCCCGGATCTGCAGCGGGGGCAGGTCTCCAGGTTACGACCACGCTCTTCCATGGTCGGAGAGTCTGGAATATGGAAAGTCCAGGGTCTTCCGGGGCTCAGGATTTGAGATTCCGAATTATCCTTAGTTCTGGATTTTCTGTAGACCCAAAATTCTCAAAGGTGTCTTTGGAGGCTGGAATTTTTTGGCGGGAAGGGGTCCTGGAAATAAGAGTATGGAGTGTGGAGTTTACAATTTGGACTGTGGGTAAGAAGAGGTGGGGCCATTCCTCCTGAGGTTCAAAGATCTCCACCTCTTGTGGAGACGTTTCAACTTCCCGGGGGACTTGAGTTCTCGCTTGATCTCGGAAACCAGCAGGATAAAAGCCGGGCACCCTGAGGGGAAGGGTTGTGTGGAGGTAATTTCGGAATTGGCTTAGCTGGGCCCGAAGCCCCTTCCCGCATCACTTTGCAGCTTCCTGACCTGCTGCACCGGGAGCCTTCTGCCGCCTGTTTCCCAGCCACCTGTGTGAGTGACTCAGTTTCTGCGTCTACCAGGGTTGACTTCCAAAAGCTTTCTAGCAAGGCCAAGGGAGAATTTTAGGGGTGGGGGAGGGACTGGATAGCTGCCTCCACTTCCTGGCTTTCGGCCGGTGGACAGTCACTTCCTCCATCCTGAATTCAAGGACTGAGCTGCCAGTGGGTCACTTCCTCACGATGGGAGCATGGGATTTTTGTCCTCATTGGTGAAAACATGCTCTGAAGAAAGAAAGCACGGGGCGGAAATGCCTTTGTCTCTTCCTTTAATTATTTTTTTTCCTGGCTGCTTGTGGTGGTGCACACCTGTAATCCCAGCACTAGAAAGGTGGAATCAGAATTGCTTGGTCTGCGTGTGGGTTAATCTGGACTACAGCATAAGACCCTGTCTCTAAATAAAAAAAAAAAAATTTAAAATTGAGGCCTGGTGTTAGTGGCACATGCCTTTAATTCTAGCACTCCAGAGGCAGACAGAATTGGATCTCTGTGAGTTCTAGACCAGCCTGGTCTACATAGTGGGTTTCAGGACAGTCAGGGCTACACGGAGAAACCCTGTCTCTAAACACCCTCCCCCAATCGAGCTGGGGATTAGGATGCAGTTCAGTGGGTAGAGCTTGCCCAGCGTGTGTAAAGCCGAGGGTTTCATCCCCAGCTACCTAGACCTGCGCAGGGTGCATGCCTGCAATCCCAGTGCTCAGGAGGATCAGAAGTTCAAGGTTATCCTCTGCTACATAGGGACCTTGAGGACAGCCTGGGCTGAGAGATCCTGTCTTTTTTTTAGGCTGGAGAAATGACTGAGATCAAGAGTATATGCTGCTCTTGCAAAGGACCAGAGTTTGGTTCCTGGCACCCACCTGGCTCTCAGTTCTATTACTGCAGCCCCAGAGGACGCAACCCTGCCTTCTGTCCTCTATAGGGAACTGCAATCCGTGTTCACACAGACAACATATACATAAATAAAATCTGTTTTTAAATTTAAAATGTGTCCTTTTAGAGTTCTTCAGCTCAACTGGTTTTCAGTGGGTTTTTTTTTTCTTATTTATTTATTTATTTATTTATTTATTTATTTTTGAGGCAGGGTTTTCTCTGTGTAGGCCTGGCTGTCCTGACTCCTGAATGATGGGATCAAAGGTGTGTACCACTGCACCTAGCTTGGTGATTTTTTTCTAACCTCTGTTGAGTCTTTTTTTTTTTTAATGATCTGACTACATGTTTTTTAGTTTTTGTATTATTATTCTATTATATATCATTCTGCCTACGTCCCTGCAGGCCAGAAGAGGGCACCAAATTTCATTACAGATGGTTGTGAGCCAGCATGTGATTGCTGGGAATTGAACTCAGGACCTCTGGAAGAACAGCCAGTGCTGTTAACCTCTGAGCTGTCTCTCCAGCCCCTCTGTAAAGTCTTACTTAACTTTGATGTTTGATTCTCAGAAATTTGTGCAAGAGTTTAGTCATTCTTCATTTGTGTGTGGTGCTGTGGATCAATCCAGGGCCTTGTGTGAACCAGCTGAGCATTCTGCCACTGAGTACATCCTCAGTGCCTTTTAAATATACTTTAATTTTAACTATTTTTAGATTAAAAAGCATTCTTTTATATGCATGCTTGCAAGCACACACATGTACCACATGCCTGGTGCCTACAGAGGCCAGAAGATCCTCTTGAACTGGAGTTACTGATGGCTGTAAGCATCGTGTGGGTGCTGGGTATTGAACTCGTGTCCTGCAAAAGCAGCCAGTGCTCTCATTATTTTCCTGTTACTTTCTTAGGCTGTTACGTTCTTGGGCTGGTCCTGTACTTCTGGACTCAAGTCCCTCCTCAGTCTCCCGTATAGGCCTGTGCACTGTACCTGGCTGAAGTGGCCAGTATTTTGTGTTTGTTTTTTGATAGATGAGGGGATGGAACCTGAGGTCTTGCACATGCTAGACAATTACTCTACTAGTGAGCTATATCCTCGGTCCTAAAAGTGGCTTTATTTTTTCCTTTTGTTTGGTTCAAGAGACTTAAGACGTGAAGTAACTTGTTCCCAGGTTTGTGACTACACAAATGGGGCTCAGGCTCAGACTATTTTCCCTCCTCGGTAGTTTCTTCTTTCCTGTGTCACAAACAACACAATAAGATTGCCTGGCTAGTCAGAGAAGGAAGTGGGCCTTGGAACTTACTTGTTCTGTTCAGACTACATTCTTGGACACCTTGCATTCCTCTGTAACAGGAGAATCAACAAGGAAATCAAATATTTACTGAGTGCCTATGATGTCTTTGGAACTGGGCTGGGCCAAGTTTTGCCTCTTACAAATTTTAACAGATGCCAGAGCCAGGAAAGATACTTGAGATTATGTGCTGCATCCTTGTTTTGCATTTGGAGAAACTGAGGCTCCAGGAGGAAAACAGGCTTGTCCAGGGTCAGAGCCAGGACTAGTTAATATAGGAGGACAGAAAGTTGGAGGCATGTGGGGCTGGAACACAGACCCTTAGAAAATACCTGTGGGGTCCCTGAGGGACAGTTCAGTTGGTGAGGTACTGTAAGCATCAGGACCTGGGTTTGATCCCCAGCCCTGTATAAAAAGCCAGATGTGGTGACTCATACTTGTAAGCCTGCTGCTATGGGGTGGAGACAGGTGGAACCCTAGCTGATTTGATTAGCCCCAGGTCCTGGTGAATCTTTGTCTCAAAAAACAAGGAGCCCAGAACTGCTGAGCTGGCTGTCAAGCCTGAGGATGGGAGTTTGGTCACCAGAACCCAAGAAAGCTTCTGTAAGTTGTCCTCTGACTTCTGTGCTTGGTGGTGCGTACATCCTTCCCCCTAATAAATAAGTAAACGTAAGCAAGGGAAAGCATAAACCAAAGTGAATGGTTCCAGAGTAATGACACCCAAGGTTGACCCCATATGCATGCACTCATGCAAATACCTGTGCACCCTAACACATGAACGTGCACACATGTTGTGTGCACACTCTGAAATAGCTGTGGACATACTAATCCATGGTTTGTGCTTTTGAAAAGCTTGCTGCCTGGTTAGGGTAATTAAGAAAAAAAGGATGAAAATCAAGATGTGTTGTTGCAAAGCTTATATGCCAAGAGTTGTATTTACACGGTTATCCCTGAGTGACAAAACAGGAGACAAGATATGACAAGCCCTTTCCTCTGTGGAGTGTGTTCTGACAGGAAGATAGACATTAAATCGCGACTGTCATCAGGACTGATGCTTAATAGAAAGTAAGATAAGGGTCAAGGAGCAGTGGTGGTCAGCAGGCGCGTGCATGACAGCTGAAAGTTGAAGTCCGGCAGTGTACTGAGCAGCTGCCAGTCATGATCAGGGCTGGGGCTCTGTGTGTGTGTGTGTGTGTGTGTGTGTGTGTGTGTGTGTGTGTGTGGCAACATCTGAGAACTTGTGGGTGGTTCTTTTTTGTTGTTTTTTATGTGAGAGGAATGAGAAAGGTAACAGGGAAGAAACTGTAGCGTACGGTGCACATGTCAGTGAGCTCAGTCTTCAGCAGGGGTGAGCACACTGATGTGTGTGGTAGAGCCAGGAGTGGGAGCTGGGGAGGCCATGGAGCAGAAGTTAGGGCTTGGTAAACTCTGGAGTGTTTAATGGCAGGCTAAGGACTGTGGAGTTTTCCAATCCGCAGCAGACACTCTAGGTTTACAATCATGGAAGTCATGAGTAAAAACCCATCGTGTTTAGGATGCTGTGTTGGGCCCTTCACGTTCATAGTGGGTTTTCTGGTGGTTCCCATGCCAGGGCTGGCTCTAGTCAGTGAGACCTGGATGAGGGCTGGGGTTTTCGAGACGTACTAGGGAAGGATAGGGACTGACTGTATGCGTCATGTCACTTTGGCGTTTCATTGGGGACTGTAGCATTCACATGTCTTTCCTGCTTACACCTGGGAATCAGCTCCTTCATCGATTCACATCTGCTGTTAGTTGGGATATAGACATCACCTACTTCTCTTAGAGTGAGCTTCACCCTGGGATCCCATTTGATGAGGTCTTTCCTCCTCTAATCTGATGGATCAGAAAAGAAAGTCTAAAGCACTCTAATCCCAGCACTCCGGAGGCAGAAGCAGGTGTCTCTCTTTGAGTTTGAGGCCAGCCTGGTCTACAAGGCGAGTTCCAGGACAACCAGGGCTACACAGAGAAACCCTATCTTGAAAAAAGAAAAGAAAGTCTAAAATATAACCAACACCATAGGTTCTGGAGTCTGATGATGCTGGTCCTGACCTCTAAGTGGGTAGGTAGTTCATACTCCCATAGTGTTTAGGACACTGTGGCACATTGGTGAGGATTCAGATAACTTCTGTCATTGACAATGAGTTGGTAACTGCTGAATGAGAAATGTGAATTGAGTAACTGGGGTTCTCTGATAAGGCATCTGTTGCAGGCCTCCCCAGATAAGAAAACGCCTACTCACAGGGAATGGAGTAGGAGCCGGCCAGCCAGCCACAGGAGCCTTCTGTCCCACTTGTCTGTCTACAGTGCAGGCTGTTACTGTGTGCAGTTCACCCTGTCCCCAGAGTCTGACTTATCTCTGACTTATATTCTTCATGTCCTTGTCCTTCACCCAGCGAGTACTCGCCAAGCCCCTGCTTGTTTGTGGCCTGCTCTGTGCCTTGCACACGGGCACACAGACCAAGTCTAGGACTTAACTTGAAAACGTTCTCTTTGGATTTTAGAAGCTGCTCTACTCAGATCCTCCTCTCCCCTGGGTAACCTCTGGACATGCTTGCAGGGAGGGAGTGGAGTAACTCACAGACAGGTCCAGTTTAAGGCCAGGCACCCTGGAGTTATTTACACAACCACTACTCGTTTTAATCTTCTGGTTAATCCTGTAAGGTGGTAACTTTATTTAGCCTCCTTAAAAATGAGCAAAGGGGTGCTGGGCAGTGGTGGCGCACAGCTTTATCTCAACGCTGGGAAGGCAGAGACAGACTGATCTCTGTGAGTTTGAGGCCAGCCTGGTCTACAGAGTGAGTTCAGGACAGCCGGGGCTACACAGAGAAACCCTGTCTTGGGGGGAGAGAGGGAGAGAAGCCAAAATGAGCAAAGGGAACTGGAAGGCTGGTTCCATAGTTGAGAGCACTTGCTACTCTTGCAGAGGACACAGGTTTTGTTCCCAGTACCCACATGGCAGCTCGTAACCATGGTAACTCCAGCTCCAGGAGATCCCTCACCTTCTTTTGGCTTCTGCACTCACCAGGCACACACATGGTGCACTTACATGTATTTAGGCAAATACTCATATGTATAAAATGGAAATAAAAATATTGTACTGCCTATAGCAGCCAGAGGGCATCAGATCCCTTGGAACTATAGTTATATGAAGTTGTTAGGCGCTGCATGGGTGCTAGGAATCAAACTTGAGTCCTATGGGTGATCAACCAGTACTCTTAGCTGCTGAACTTTCTCTCCAGCCCTATTTAGATGACATGGGATTCATGTTTTTGCTGGGTGTGGGGGGGTGTTGATAGCTCATATGCCATGACACGTGTGTGGAGTGTGTGTGTAGGTCAGACAACAACTTGTGGGCTTCAGTCCTGCCCTCTTACCATGTACACTGGAGAGATCCAACTCAGTTGCCAGGGTTAGCAGCAAGCACCTTTTTTGGCTGAGCCATCTTGCTGGCCCTTTTTTCTTTTAATGCAAAGGTTACATGTATGGGACTAGAGGGATGCCTTAGTGGCTAAGAGTACTTGTTGCTCTTCCAGGGGACCCAGGTTCAAGTCCCAACACCTATGTGATGGTTTACAAACATCAGTAGCTCCAGGGCCAGGGGATCCAATGCCTTTTTCTGCTGGGCACCAGACACACATCAACACATATATACATGCAGGCAAAACACGCATACACATAAAATAATATTTAAAAAATGTCATGTGAATATGTGTGTATGCCATATACATGCGGGTGCCTGTAGAGACCAGAAGATGGTGGATCCCTTGGAGCTGGAGTTACAGGCAGGTGAGCCACCTGAGGTGGGTGCT